AAGAGGTTGTGGAGCTTTGGAAACATAAATCATTGTTTCAAAATAAAAAAAAATGCTTCTAGTGATTTTTGTCATTCTTTTTTTGGAGAGAGAGTTTTATGTAGCCTAGGCTGGCCTTGCTCTTGCAATATAGCAAGGTGACCTTGAAGTCCTGATCCTTTTGCCTCTACCGCCCAAGAGTTTAAATTGCAGGTATGTGCCATAGCACAGAGCTCTCAAATGATTCTTAGGTTGTCTTTTTATTATCCAGGCAACTTTTAACTAAGCATCCACTTTTTGTAACATTGGTGGCATTCCTGCAGCTGTCTCTGGATTCACTGATTAAAATATCTGCGGATGAGGCAGTAAGAGGTAACTGTAATCAGAATACTTCCCAAATAAATATGTTTTCTAAAAATTATACATTTATCAATAATGTGATGCCCTGCAACTTAGAGGCCAAAGAAATAATCTTATTGCTCTCCTCACAATAGATCAGGATCTCCTAATTCCAATATCCATCATGATACCTTAATGTCAGCACCCTCACTATTACTATCAGAATGATTATTTTAAAAATGAGTGCTTTTATTATCATTCTGTTTCTTAGTGGTAAAGAGAGGCAAGAACACAGAAAGACAAAATATTTTATGACCTAGTAAAGCTAAGTTAGTGAATAGCAAGATATAACTAAGAAAAACTTTCGTTTTTTTCCTTATAGAATCTTGCACTTAGAAAAGTTGTTATTGACAAAGATCCAAATTCATCATGACTATTTGTCCTTTAATAATAGTAAATGACCAGCATCATGTATGATAAGGACGTTAACTAAATAGAAGAAAAAACTTACAATCATTTTCACTACAAGTGAGAACCAAAGTTCCCTGGGTGCGGGGGGGATCCACACCTGAGTTAAAGATTCTACAAGGCTGATTGACTAATTAGAATCTGCCTGACTGTGCAAAGCTAAAGGTTGAAAATCTGGAGCTGAAGTTATCTTGGGCAATCTTTAGCACCCCATTGCCCACTTCTTCTGGACACTGCCTGGCCTGGAATGTGCTAAGTATACTAGTCTGACCTTAAAGCTTCCATCTGCCTGTTTCTGCCTCCTGAGTGCCCGGATTACAAGCATGCACCATCATGCCTGGCTCTCTGGCCTCCTTAATTAAAAGCTTTTCGTTGTTCATCTGTGTCTGCCCTAACATCTTTACGACTATAGTGTGAAACTTTCAGGGGTATATTAACAGACTCTTAAGTTTGCACTAGGCCCCAAAGCTCTAGCTTTTCGTTGTTCATCTGTGTCTGCCCTAACATCTTTACGACTATAGTGTAAACAGTGTCAACAGACAGCTTGTGAAAACAACAGCAGAGTTTCCCACTCTGCTATAACCTGCCCATTTACAGATTCTACCAGTGTATGAAAGTGCCCCCATGTAGGACTGCCTTTTGTTCTATAACTATAAAAAGTCATGAAACCTCCAGGCATGGTGGTGCACACCTTTGATCCCAGCACTTGGGAGGCAGAAGCAGGCAGATCTCTGTGAGTTCAAGGCCAGCCTGGTCTACAAAGTGAATTCTAGGCCAGCTGGGGCTACAGGTCAAAAAGACCAAAAAAAAAAAAAAAAAAAAAAAAAAAAAAAAATCATGAGACCATTTCCACATTGGAACATGTTATTTGGAGCAACCTCAATCCATGATGCTAGGCCACTAGTGTTTATCTCAACAATAAACCATCTCTTACTCCCTTTGAGGTGAAAGCTGCATTTTGTATTAACACATATTCCTCTCTTTAGTAATATACTTGACAACTGTTATTGTGTTCCTGTCTTTTGTTAAATTATTAAGAAAAACAAAAGAAAAATATTGCCTTTGTTGAGAAGCGCTATTAATAAAAATTGTAGAATGCTTATAATGGTAAAACGCATGGTTCATCTGAAAGACTGAGGGATCGCTATTGGCTCTGTTTTGTCTCATGTTATTGCCTCGTGGTAAATACAGTGTCTTTTGAGACAAATCCCTTGGCTATGATGATAGGATTGAAAGTCAGTATTAGGACTGAAGAAGAGGAAAAGAGAACCCAGTAAAACTCATAAAAACAATAAAACACTTCAAAGCTGGTGCTGTTCCAGCAGAGCCTAGGCCACCAAGGCAGGGGGTTAATAGATTCTGATCAAAGGACCTCTCCAAGGAGCCACCCCTGCCTCCTGTCACTCAGCTCCATTCCTGAGAGAATGAATAAACCCGCTTTACAAATAATGACTGGGACATCATGCTGGCCTCCTAAAGGACTGTGCATGGACGATTGGAACTGCAACTGAAGGCCCTCCTTAACATCTGTAAACATGCCGGAAGGAAGTCTATTTTCAAAGGATGAGGAGTGACAGAAGTAAGATTTACTCATCTAACTGAAAAAAAAAAGTATTTAAATTATCCTGAAAAAGAAACGACTGCTTTTCCCTCCTTCAGAGTTCCCACACAGAGTTCCACATAGTTGAAAAAAAAATAACAGTGATCTATTCTTGGGTATATCTAGTTTTTCTCTGCAGGCATAGAGAAAAAAAAAAAATCTGAGGTTGGCATGGTGGCACACGCCCTTAGTCCCAGCACTCAGGCAGATCTCTGTGAGTTCAAGGCCAGCCTGGTCTATATAGTGAGTTCTAGGCCAGCTGGGCTACAGGGAGACCCTGTCTCAAAAAGACCAAACAAAAACAAAAACAAAAACACAACACTACCCTGATTTAAAAAAAGAAAAAGAAAAGAAAAGAAAATATGGGCTGGTGAGATGACTCAGTGGGTAAAGATGACTACTGCCAAGGCTGACATCCCGAGTTTGGTCCCTGGGACCCACATGGTAGAAGGACAGAAAGGAGTATTGTAACTTTTCCTGTTTCCTCTGACCCCCACATTATACCACTTTATACACACACAATAATACCAATAAAGTTAAAAGTGAAAATAAGAAAATTAAAATAAAGTGGCGCACCAGTTGGAAGCCTAACTGGGCGTGGTCTTGCCCTGGAGGCAATCTCTCCATTGTTTAAGTCTGAATCTCTAGGCTCCTCCTTAATCACTTTAATCTCTTTATCAAAGGGATCCTTTCCAGCACATGCTGGGACTCCAATATTTATCTTCCTAGTGCTCTTTTTCAATCCAAACTGTATTTCTTTTTGCCCCATTTGCTCTTTTTCATTGTAGATCTGCATAATGAAGAGTCAGAATGCTCTAACTCCATTTTGGCTAGCATCTTTAGACAAGTCCAGACAAGCTCAGGCATACTGTACTTGTAAAAGCCTTATAAGGTATGAACAAAAACTTCTGACTCTAAAAGATATTAGTCAGCACATTCCAATGCCCTGAAGACAGCCCCTACCAATCAAGACTTTCCCCGTACACAGGATATGGGGACAGTCCAATTAAGACTTTCCCCACACACAGGATATGAGGGCATCCAATTATTTTTAAAAAATGCTTGGCACGTGCGGGTTTCTATGGAGTGCCCCAATAAAAGCTCCTACCTGCTACTGTTTGGGGCCAGACTCCATGTTTGGCTTGTGAAGTCTGTGCCTGGCTAGCCGCCATTTGGTTGTTGTCCTTTTTTTTTTTTTACTTTAAATTCTTAAATAAACTTTCGTATAATCTTTTTGGGTATCTGTGGGAATTATTCTCGATTCTTGAACCCTAACACATAATATTCACTATTAATATCCACACCACTATTTCTACATTAGGCTGTCTTGAAATTTCTTCTGCCAGAGAAAATAGTCCATTGCTTTTCAACTTAGCTTCAGGCAAGCTTTTAGGTTGAGGGCAGACTCCAGCCAGACTCTTTGCCAAAATATCCCAAGTGCTGCTTAAGTCCTTATTTTGGCACTACGTTCCTCCAGGTGTTTACTAAAATGGCCTGTTAAGCTCTGCTTACAGCAATCAACCATTTTTCTAGCCCAAACTTCCAAAGTCTTCCACATTTTTCCAAAACCCCACATGGTCAGGTTCTACACAGCCAACAGCCCACTCTCTGGTACCAATTACTGTATTAGTCACTTTTCTGTTCTGTGATAGAAACACTGACTGAAGCAATTTATAGAAGGAAGAGCTTATTTGAGCTTACGGTTCCAGGGGAATTACAGTCCATCATGGCAGGGAGGCATGGTGGCTGGAGGTGGCTGGAGCAGGAGCAGCAGAAATTAAGCTCTCACATCATCACACAGGCACAGGAAGCAAGAGAACAACTGGAGATCTGACTAGGCTTAAGAATGCTCTAAGCCCACCTCCAGTGACATGCTTCCTCCAGGATGGCCATACCTTCTAAAAACTCCCAAAACAGCACCACCATCTGGGGACAAGATGTCCAAACACTTGGAGCCTATGGGGGATATTTTCATTCAGACCATCACACACCCCAAACAAACAAACAAAGCAATTTAAAAAATGTTTAAAAGACACATTTTCTCCTGAAGGTTGGATTCTGTTCAGGTTTTCTTTTTTAATCAAGGGACTGAGTAGTGAGTGCTGAAACTGTTGGAACACACAAGTCAGTAGAATAGCAGTGTTAAGTTTTCTATTTTCAAGGTTGTGTAGACTTAAGTAAAATAGCCCTTCAAGGACATGGATAACAGAACATTGATGTTTAATATGATATATGATAAAGTATAGTTCCAAGACATTAAAAAAGTAGGGAGAGGGACTGCAGAAATGGCTTAGTGGGCAAAGTACCTGCTGTGAAAGCAGAAAGACCTGAGTTCGGGTCCCCAGCACCCACATAAAAGCTGGACATGCTAGTGAGCATCTGGAAACCCAGCGCTGGAGAAAGGCAGATCCTAGGGGCTTGCCAGCTGGCCCTGGTGATAAGGCGAGCTCTAGGTTCAGAGACCTTGTCTCAAAAATAGTGACTAGTGGAAGTCACCTGGCACTGACCTCTTGACATGCATGTACAGGGTGCATATGTACATGTACACACCCACCCACTCTCACACAGATAATAAAAATAAGAAAGCAAAAAAGAAAAAGTCATGTCCTCTTACATGAGTAAACAAAGCTTCCTTGCCGAGTTCTTCAAAACTGTCACATGGAACCCATGCTTCAGCAAACTGTAGAAAATCCCACTTTTCCTTATCACCTTCCTCAGCCTGGAGTTTTTCCTTCCTGCCATTCAGTGTGCTCCCTGTGACCTGAGCCTGGGATGGAAAAACACAAGAATCTGACCACAGTTCACCTCATGGATGACATTTGCTAATCAGTAACTTGATTTTTGCATTGAAATCATAGTTATCCAGTAAGAAGACCTTAGTAGTATATAACATATCATGACTTTAGTAATATAGTTATTCAAAATTGCTATGAAATTACAAAATGCTTAAGGAGATTTAACTAGAAACATGACACAATATTCACTTTTCTCATAAAAACTTTTATTCTAATATTTATATACTTGGAAATTTTACCTATATATAATTGGCCATTTTGAATATTTATACTCACTACTCAAAACTCACTGCAATAGAATAAATGCCTATGTGTCTCCCAATTCATTCTGTTTAAATCTTTCCTCTGTGTGATGCTATGAGAAGGTGGGACCTTTGAGAGGTGATCAAGTCATGAAGGTGGAGCCCTCTTGAATGGGATTAGTACCCTTATTTTTTAATTAACTGATTTTTATTTGTATGTGTATGAGTGTTTTGTCTGCATATATGTAAATGTACCCATGTTGTGCAATGCCCACAGAGGCCAGAAGAGGGCATAAAATCCCCTGGAACTGAAGTTTCAGATGCTTGTTAGTCACCATGTGGATACTGGGAACTGGACCTAGGTCCTCTGCAAGAGCAGCCAGTGCTCTCAACTGCTGAGCCACCTCTCCAGTCCTAGTGCCCTTATTAAAGAGACCACAGAGGGCTCTCTTGCCCTCTTTCAACCATGTGTAGTTACAACTAGGTCTTCTTTGTACCCATAGAGATCGCTCATCAGAACACAGACTATTAAGCCTCCAGAAGACAGAATGATTTTCTATTTATTTCTATGGTATTTTGTTATAGTAGCCTAACTTACACAGAAATTGGTGCAAATGGAGTTGCTACTATAACACATACCTCAAAGTGCAAAAGTCTTTTCAAAGCAGGTAATGGATAGAGGCTAGAGAGCTTAAGTACATGTTGGATAAAACCTCTACTGCCATAAATGGAATTTTTTTTTTTTTTTTTTTTCCTTTTTGAGAAAGGGGCTCCCTGTAGCTCCAGCTGTCCTGGAACTCACTATATAGACCAGGCTGGCCTCGAACTCACAAAGATCCGCCTGCCTCTGCCTCCCAAGTGCTGGGATTAAAGGCATGCGCCACCACGCCTGACTCATAAATGGAATTTTAAATGCAATCCCAGTCAAAGCTCAGACAGAGGAGAACTGGAGAGAAAGCTTCTCTCTTCTTAAAGCACAGTCACATAATCACCAACAGAATGTTGCTGGGAATATAGGTGGCAAAGGTCATTCTGATGAGATGTCAGATGAAAATGAGGAACACACTATTGGAAACTGGTGGAAATGCCACCTTTTGTTGAGAAAAAAGAACTCAGTTGTCAACATTCTAGTGTTTTATGGAATGTAGAGCCTGCAATCAATAAGGCTATATTTAGCTGAGGCAATTTCTGAGGAGTATGTTGAAAAAGCTTAGTTCCTTCTGACTGTCAGTGCAAGAAGAAAGAAATAAAGACAGACCTGTTAAGTAAAAAGGAACAATTTAAATTTAGGGAAATTCTTGGTCTACTGATATTGCAAAAATGAGAAAAAGTGTTTAAGAAGAGAATATTGAGAGCACGCCCACATGACCATGTGACACAATGGTTGGTGTAGATATAAACCACACACTCAATCAGCCATCTTAAGAAAAGCCAGAAACAAGCCAGGACTGAATGAGTAGAAACAGAGCCAGCCAAGACTGAAGGAACACAGACTAAGCAGGAGAATGGAGGTAGACTGTCAAGCTTCTTGGACCACACAGAACTGGAGCGCAGCACTACACTTAGCTGAGAATACAAAACAAGAATAGGACTGCAAAGGCAATTTGGACATTACCAGGGTTGACACTCATGCCACCGGCCTGAGGGCAGATATGCTCCCACCTGGATTGAAAGGGTAAGATCAATGCTTGGAAGACCTACCTGGGTTGGGGTTGCCCTGTGGAGCCTTGAAGTTGTGATCTCTACCCTGACAGAACCTGAAAGCCAAGGCAGTGGTAGCCAAAGCCACCACAGAGAACCAGTGATCTAGAAGATGGGGTACTGTCCTACAGGGCCTGGAGGGCAGCATACAGGGCCACAGAGGAATCATCTCAAGCCTCAAAATCTGACTCATTTTGCCTTGTGAGGTTTTGGATTTGCTTGGGCCCAGCCAGTCCTGTCTCCTCTCCTATTTTTCCCTTCTGGAATGTGACTGCACAACCTATGTATCTCTCCCACGGTTCTATTTTGGAAGATTGTAACTTGGTTCCATAGGTTCACAGCTAGAGAGGAATTTCACCTCAGGATGAGTCTTACTCATAACTGATTTAGAAAGTATTTAGAAGAGATGTTGATTTTAGACTTAATGCTGGAATGAGCTAAGGCTCTTTGTGCTGTTGGGATAGAATGAATGCATTTTGCATGTGAGGAGGGCATGAATTTTCGAGGAGGAAGCCAGGGTAAAATGTAATAGACCAAATGTCTCTCCAAAAAATTCATATACTGAAATCCTAATACCCAATGTGATGATATTAGGAAGTGGACACTTTGGGAGTCATGACAGTGGAGGGAGGCCTCACAAATGATACTTCTGCCCTTATAAAATGAGAGTTGTCTTTCCCTCGTTTGACCAAATGAGGGTACAGTAGGAATCTTGAAGACTACAACTAGGAAGAGGGCCCTCCCTAAAACCTGACCACCCTTGCTCCCTGATGTCACCTTCCATCCTCCAGAACTGTGAGGAATATAATTCTACTAATTACGTTCCACCTGGTGCAAGATACTTGTAATAGGATCCCTAATACTAAGAAATCCTCTCACTCTTAGTGAAGCCTCTTCTATAAGCATCCTTCAAGGTTGCAAAAAAGAGACAGAAAACAATGAGGAGACAGAGAAAACAATGTCACTCCCACCTTACCCACAGTCTGGGTACAGGCTGTCTTCTGTCAACATTAGTTGAAAACTCAAAAATCTACCCAGAAAAGATTCACCAGTTCATTCTTTGTCACAACAAGGTCTTGGAGTTTTAGTTATTGTGGTTCTCTACTAGCTGATCCTAGCCTACCTTCTGAAGTGGTGGGAGCAGCTGTAGAACATACACGAGGCCCTGCGTTCAGATCTACTACCATAAGAAAATTAAGACAAGGGGCTGGAGAGATGGCTCAGCAGTTAAGAGCACACACAGCTCTTGTAGAGGACCTGAGTTTGGTTCCTAGCACCCATGTTGGGTAGCTCATAACTCTAGCAGTAGATCTAATACTTCCTTCCTCTGGCCTCTAAGAACACTGCACTCATGTGCACAAACTTCCACATGGACACACACACACACACACACACACACACACACACACGTACACAAAATTAAAATAAAATAAATCTTAAAAAAATAAAAAGATCTTAGAAAAATATAGCTATACATGGAAAGTCATACCTTGTATGGTGAGGAAGGCAGATAGTGTAGTACTACTTGAAAACTTTTATGATCTCAGTCTCTGTTACCTTTGCATACTCAAGTATTCTTTGCCTGAATACATTAGAACCCAATCTCCTAACGCATGTGGTATACATGTCCAGGTTTAAACTCAGGTGTTACCTTTCGATTCAGCATCCCCCACATGAGGGTGTCTAGAGTGCCATTTGCAATGAGATAGTGAATGTTCACAGAGCTGCACTGTCCAATTCGGTGAGCTCGATCTTCAGCTTGTTTAATATGTCCAGGGTCCCAATATAACTCAGCAAAGACAACGTGACTTGCAGCAGTAAATGTTAAACCCTAAGCAGAATGAAGCAAAGAAACTGAGATTCAAATAAATTGAGATTGTAGCACGAGAGTCATATGTAATAAAGCCTTTCTGAACATGTTAAATGGAGAACACTAAGGGTTCTGCTAGCTTTAACTCGACACAACCTAGAGTCATCTGAGAAAGGAATCTCAACTGAAGGATTTCCCAGGTCAGATTGGTCTGTGAGCATGCTTACTGGGGATTGCCTTGATTGTTAATCAATGTTAGAGGGCCCAGACCACTGTGGACAGCACCATTTCCTGGGCAGGTGGTCCTGGGTTGTATCGGGAAGTTAGCTGAGCATGAGTGAGCTGGCCAGCAAGCAGCATTCCTCCATGGTTTCTACTTCAAGTTCTTGCTTGGGTTCCTGCCCCGACTTCCCTCAATGACAGACTGTAATCTCTAAGCTGAAATAAACCCTTTCTTCCCCAACTTGTTTTTAGTCAGGATGTTTTATCAAAGCAACAGAGAAGAAACTAGAACACTATGAAACTTAAAAATAAGTAAGTCATGCATCTTAAGACAAATCAGGAATATTTAAGTCATGAAAGGTAAATTAAGACTGCTTATTGCAAGATATCCAGGTGAATTACAACCCCCCTCCATACATTTAAAAGGCATTTCAGTATTTCAAAAGGCAAACTGATGGATAATATACAAACAAAATCACTTTATCTTCTGATGAAGGGTTGGATTTACTTTACCTCTGGGAAATCTGATAAAAATGCATTTAAATATCATTTTTAACACATGTTATCCATAGCAACTAGGTAGAGAGCACTGACATGCTCTTAACTGAATTCAAACTGCTGTATGAGAAAGAACATGTCTCCACTCATGCTATTTCCTCCTAGGAAATGTCCCATGTTACATCTTTAAGTCCCTAAAGTCTACTGCTTCATGTCTCAATATATGTCATGCACCGCATTCCCTATGCAACTGACTTTTGTATGAATTTGAAATACTGTGGCATCAAGATATTAAATCTTGCTTTATAACCAATATATGAAATAAAACAAACTGCCTCAGATGAAAAAATGTGTCAAGATGTGCCGCTTCGAGGCTGGTGGGTTGAGTGAACTGTGAAGCAAGCTTAACTGTGGCCACATACAGTCCATGATTTTGGGTGCTGAACAGAAAGTCTACCTTCCTTTAGACTATGGCTCACTTCATGCTGTGATTCACAAGCACTGGAGTTTCTTTAAGTGAGAGACTTCAGTGACTATTACTCTATTTTGATTTTTAACTTAAAAAGCTGAGACTGGTAGTGCGCATTTGTAATCCCAGTACTCAGGGGGTAGAGACTGGAAGATTCCTGGGACTCACTGGCCAGCCAGCATAGCCAACTAGTGAGCCCAAAGTCCCAGTGAGAGACCCTGTGTCAAAAAACAAGGTACATCTCTTACCTGGCCAGCAGCTTGAATACTCAGAATAGCCACACGAGTATCAGGGTCCTTCTGAAATTGATTAACCAGATGAATCCTTTCTGAAGATGCAACACTCCCATCTATCCTGATGTAACGAGTCTAGTATCAATAAGGGAAATGGCAAAATTAGACGAGCCCCTGCAGTCTTCTTATTTTATATATTTTACACCTAATTTTTATGGTCATATAAAGATGAAGACGGATTAAGATAATAGGCTGGCAGATGTTATAATACAATAAGAACCTTAAAGTATCTTATAATAATTTTCCATTTTTTAATTTTTAAATTTATTTATTGTGTACCACAACACCGCTCTCTCTAAATATGATCAAAACATGTAGTATGAAATTCATAAAAGTTCAATAAAAATTTTAAAAAGATAGTTTCTTTGAACAGTTTCTTAATAAGCAACCTTTATTTAACCAGTGGGTAAGAGTAACTTTAAGGTTATAGGATCATTAATTGCAAAGTAAATCTAAAACCAGATGTGAGAGAAAGGAGAAAGATGATTTTGCTCAGGTACTAGGGAGACATATTGAGTGGTACACGGATTTCTGAAATATAACCCGTATACATATAATTTCCCATATAACTGGGAAATTATCAAAATTATCAGTCTTAACCTACCATTCATGGCCTTCATTTTCAAATTGTTAAAGAAATGGTTGTATCCATTGAAGTGAGGAATGGAGACACCCACGCACACCTTTAAAAAGCTGAGAATCATTAAGTGTTAAACTGAACAGACTTGTCTTCAAGAACAATTTAAGTTGTGAAAAGGAAGCTGTGTGTTATAAATAGCTAAAAAGAACTTATAACTCAACTTCATAAAAGAAGTAAATTTCAAATGATCTCATTCAAATATACACAGATTCTATGGGCAACATCATCTAAAAAGTTGAGAAATGAGACTATTTACTTTTGGCTGGGTATGGTGGCTCACACCACTAATTCCAGCAGAGGCAGGTGGATCTCTGTGAGATCAAGGCCAGCCTAGTCTACATAGCAAGTTCCAGGCCAGCTGGGGCTACAGGGAGACACTGTCTCAAAAAGAAAAAACCCAAAATTTACATTCAAAAAGAGATTAATCAATAAAGTGAATAATTAAATTACTAACTTTCTTCTTTGTGTGTGTGTTCATGTGTGTCAGTGTAGGTACATACTTGCCACAATGTGTTTGTTCTAAGGTAGAATAGATTCAGAATAGGAAAATATTTTGAATCTAATTTTTTGGCCAATCATTTAAAGATTACACGTCAAATTAATGAATCTTCCTTGGAGGGTGAAAATCAACAAGAAAGACCCTTTCAGTGTTACCACTGTCATCACATTATGCTGTCATAAATCCTCCTATGGAAGAGACATTTGAACATACTATAGACATATTGGTTGAAGCTTAAAGCACAGCTTTACTCCTGATTTTGAAAACAATGACCTGTATTGGTTCTGTTGCTACACATATACTGGTTCATAGCATTTTTCAGGAAATAGCTTTCAGCTGCTTCAGAACATCCATGGAAACCCTTGGCATTTAGAGGACAAATGGCAGGTAGGTTTGAAATGAAAAATGGAAAACACTGTCACTAAGGTGACTAGTGGAAATCAAGGTGAACTTCAGAAGATATGGTAAGGCTCACTATCCTAGTAGACATGGCCTGATAAATCTCATGGATCATGTGCTTTAAAAGAATCTATACTGATTATTAATAACAATTTTCTAACAGTATGCTGCCTAGAAGTATAAAGGATCTGACTACACTTGGGCAGTGATCTTCACTGGGTTTGTTCTCTGTCACTCACACTTTAATTGTGTTTGAGACTACCACTCTCACATGGTGTCTCCAGAAACAGAGTTCCCATTATGGCTGTCAATAATATCCCAGAAACTAGAGCAATGGCTCAGCAGTTAAGAGCACTGGCTGCTTTTGCAGAAGACCTAGGTTTGATTCCCAGCACCCACATGGCAGCTAACAATCATCAATAACTCCAGCTTCAGGAGATCCAACACCCTCTTCTGGTCTCTGTGGGCACTGCATGTCATGGGTGTAAATTACATACATGCAGGCAAAATACTCATACACATAAAAGTAAATAAAAGACAAAAGATCCTTAATCAACTCAGATAAATTGAACAGAGGAAACTTTTAAGATTGATATCAAGAAGAAAACAGAATGTAATGGTAGTAATATAATGTAATATTAGTAAAAGTGTAAGAAAATATTTAATAATACATCTTAATAATACATTTTCAAATATCATTTAAAGAAAGTTTTTAAAAGCCACCTAAATTATGAGACTATAAGTGATATTCAGGATTGTGAAAATATGCATTCTAAAACTTTATTTTATAAATAAATATCACAGTACCTTGTTTTCAATGACTGCTTCTGTGCAAGCTTGGAGCATACTTAAATGGTGAGCAAAGACCAGAAATTTAAGTGACTCATTCTGAAGCATCATCTTAATATAGTCCTTTACTGCACCTGCCTAAATATCAAAGGTAAACTTTATTAACGTTGTCAAGATTTTTATTTAAAACATTGTCACTTTTAATAAAGCAAGAAAAATGTACACATTGCAGCTGCCTTCTTCTCTATGCAGCCTAAGGAAGGAGGAACCCACATGTTAAGGGTATGTGAAACTGGAAACGGTGGCACACGCCTTTAATACCAGCACTAGGTAGATCTCTGTGAATTCGAGGCCAGTCTGGTCTACATAGTGAGTTCCACACCAGCTGGTGTGGACTAAATAGATAAATAAATAATAAATAAATAAATAAACAAATACATAAGTAAATAAATAAGGAAGGGAATTAAAAGGGCATATGGGAAAAGAAGGTTTGCAGGGTATGTGTTATTTTTTCATTGCTGTGATGAAATACCTGAAATAAATCAACTTAAAGCAGAGAAGATTTATTTTGGTGCACAGTTTCAGACCTCTCAGTCCCTGGTCATATGGCTCCTTTGTTTCTGAGCACTGAGGAGGCAGAACATCACGACAGGCAGCATGTGGTGGAGGACCCTGATTACCTCCTAGCAGCCAGGAAGCAGAGAGTGAAGGCACCATGGAGAAGATATACCTTTCAGGATATGTTACTAGTGACCTAGTTCCTCCAGCTAGTCTCTATACCCTCATTCCACCTCCTCCCAAAGACACCATCAAATTATAATTTCATCATTAGACTCATCCACTGATGAAGTGAGCACCTTGTGATCCAATGACCACCTTCAAGCCCATGGCTATATATTTATAAAAGCTAGGATAAAGGATTTTAAATGTTTTCACCATAAAAGAATGGTAAATACTTGAAGCGCTAAATGTTTACCCTGAATTTAACATTACACAATATATTAAAACATAAGCCCACATGGTTCACCTACAAATATTTTAAAAATGGTTTTAACAACAGACATAGTGAATGCTGATCAAACCAAAATCAGCACGTTTTTATAAATTGAGTAAAATGATATCACGTGATGGATGGATAAGAAAGGTATTTATGTGGGGGAGCAGAAGGGAAAAGAGCTTACATTTCATCTTGCCTATTAACACACCCCATTGGTGACAGCTGAAGCTACAATGCAAGCAGTATTACAAACTAAGAAACTGTAAAATCATGGCATTGAGTTGTGGGTGAATAAAATAAATCACATCAAATACACACACACACACACACACACACACACAAACGAAACAAAACAAAACAAAACAACCCACTCAGCCTTTTATAAGAACTGAAGGTGGCTGCCACTGGAGAATAAAGTTAGATTTGTCTTTAGGAATGTTTTTGGTTGTTAACATAGCTTTAGTATTATTTTTAAATTAAAAAAACTTTAAATACCTATTTGAAATTCATATGTATTGACTATAAAGCCTCAAGTCTTATTGTGCAAGCTACATTTTGCATGTCTATATTTTCCAAACAACTGAATTCATCATATGAGCCTGGAGGCTGGTAAGAACTTTAGCCTTGGATGTCGGTGCCTCAGGAAGTGGAAATGAAGTCCTCTCAAAAAAAGGATCTATAAATTCCAGATATGTTGTCATAGCAACTGAAGCACTTTAATAAAGTGCATGTTTGCCTAAAGAGCTATATTTACTGGCTAAGCCTTTCACAAAGTACATGTCAAGATGGAATGTTTAAAAGGTGCATTCATTACTATTCAATCTAGATTTATAAACAGTACAATTGCTATAACTCTGGTCTCGGATGCATTTATCCTCCTCTTCCCAAGTAAAATATTTCTACCATTACACCCTCCTCTGATATTAACCACTCCTAATCATGACCAGAGCTGCTGAGAGAAAGCTCAAGCTGTCCCAATTACTTCCAACCACTTTAGAAAGGCTTATGGTTTGGGGCAGGGAGATAGCTGAGTGTGTAAGAACACTTGCTGTACAAGTATAAAGACATGAATTCAAATTCCCAGGACCCACATAAAAGCATGGCTATATGTGCCTATAATCCCCGAGTTGGGAGGTGGAAAGAGGTGGCTCCCAGGAGCTTGCTGGCCAGCCAGCCTAGCTAAAATCACAATCTTCTAGTTCAGTGAGAGACCCTGTCTCAAAGGAGTAATGGAGCAATAGAAGGAGACATCGTCTGTCTTTCCCTGGCCTCTGCACCCATGTACATGGGCATGTACACGGGCTTGCACACCTGCACACACATGCACATACCACACACTCATAGACACACACACACACACACACACACACACACACACACACACACACAAAGAGCTGAGAATAAGACTCTGAACATAGATGGGACATCTCTGTCAATGTGCCCCCAACAAGAAGGCTCAGGGAACATTTCAGAAGGGTGGGCGGGAAGAGTGAAGGAGCCAAAGCATGGGGAGGAGGCTGAGTCTTCTGGACATGGCATGACTGCAGCATATATGAACTGACAGCAGCTGTGCTTTCCTGCAAAATACCTGCACAAGATCAAGCTTGTGAAAACTCCAGCATAGTTGGGTAAGGGGCACCTGAGGCCTTGCCCCTAGCTGAGGCGCTACGGGCAGTTCATGGCTGCTTGTGGGGGAGGAGTCACTTTTCTTTGAGAGTGTGGCCATTAGTAGGTCGCCCATGCCCTAGTGAATAGCCCCATACCCATTCTCATATGGACAGCAATAATTGGGCTCAGTGGGTTACATTTTATAAAAGGGTCATGAGGTTGAAAGGGAGATGTGCTGGGGGCTAGAGGATTTTCATGAGAGGAGTGGTATGTGACGGCACATCCTGATAATGAGCAGCACCTTGGTGATGCCAGCTCAGGTTTTGTATTAGTTGTAGAAAATGCACACTGCTCATAACTATTTTATTTTATTAAAATAATGATGTGTTTGTTAGGTGAAGCTTAAGTAATTAATGGAGACCACACATATCTTATTTAAAGAACCATATCTATTATTTGCAAATTTTGGTTTTTTGAGATGAAGTCTCTCTAGGGAGAGCAGGCTAGCCTTGGAACTCATGATCCTCCTGCCTCTGCCCTGAGTGCTGGGATTATAGGTGTATACTGCCGCACCTGTTTGCTAATAGTCATTAATTTAGAAAATATTTTTATTGAATTTTTGTGGATTTCATACAATAATTCTTAATCCTATTTAGGCCCTCCTTTCCTACTGGCTATCCCCTATAGCCCACCCACAGGACTTCATGCATTCTGTCATTTATGTTAAGGCCTATCAAGTCAAGTTTGTGTACCCAGATGTCCTCAGTGTGAGCTCATTAACTGGAGCCTGTTCAGCCTATCTATGGTCACTTCCTTAAAAAAGATCAACTCTTCCTTACCCAGCAGTGGTCATCTGTCAATAGTTCCTCACCAAAATTGTCTGTCCCTGGTTCAGAGCCAGATACTTTCCTAAACCACAGACCAGGCAGAGGAAGAGGCCCTCCTGCAGTTTCCATCCTCCCAGGCTCTGGGAAGTAGGAAATACTCTGATGACCTCATTAACCCTCCCTGCATTCTATAAATGGGATTTCACTCATGTTAAGCTGAGACGCAATTAAAAGGAAACACATTTGTGCCTAAAGGGAACACATTTAAAATAATTTCCCTTCTGCAAATATTTTTAAGGCACCAAAGAATGCTACCATCCTTAAAGTAACAGGAAATTTTAAATTATGAGATGGTTTTAATAATTTTCACTAAAAACCTGGCATTCTCTTAACATGGTTTTTTCTCTTTAAAAAATGTGACAATATTGTAAAGTGCTCCCAGATAAGTGAGAACTGGCAAAACCAAACATGGTATTTATATCTGCTTTTTGGTTTTTTTTTTTAATTTCCCTAGGAGTATATTATGCTGATCACATCTGAGGAATCATTTTTAATTCATTGTATCCGCAATAACTATAACAAAGTGAAAAAAAGATACAGAAGAAAGAATGGCATTCTCATGCAGTTGTAGTTCATTGGTAGAGCACTCGCCAGGCATGGGTGTGGCCCTCGATTTAATCCCTAGAATTGCCCCAAGACAGACAGAAAGTCATTCTCAGCCAGGTGTGGAGGCGCAAGCCTTTCGCATGCCTTTGGTCCAAGCACTCTAGAGGCAGGCAGACCTCTGTGAGTTCCAGGCCAGTCTGGTCTACACAATGAGCTCCAGGCCAGCTGGGGCTACTAGAAGACCCTGTCTCAAAAAGACTACGGAAAAAAAAAAAGCCATTTTCTAAGTATCTGAGACTCCACTAAATGAATGTGAACTATTAACACTGATTAATCTAGGTTCATCTTCTTTGCTTACTATTTATCATTCATATCTACTGCTTATCATTATAATATTTCATTAAGAAATATTTGGAAAGAATTTGTGATAATGTGTTAACAATACCAAGGAGATAATAAACATACCTCTGTTCTCCTAAGTACAAACAGTGGACCAGTACAAGTTTACAAGGCACTGGAGGATACATGTCAGTAGCATAATTTTACAGCACAGCAAGTAAATAATAAAATTTACCACATCTTCTGGTCAAAGAACATGATATGTTTGAAAGAAATTGTCTTTATGAAATCTATCATTATGTACAAGGCATACACAACAATACAAAATAAAATGTACCACATTAATTGACCTAATTTGTTGACATGACCTAACTGAAGCACTGGAACTATATGCCTAATCTCTCTAGGATAAAGGATAGGTTATGAAAAAAAGTCTATAGATTATAATTAATATGAAATTTCTCCTCCTCTATTTCTCCCTCCTTGTCCTCCTCTTTCCCCTTATCCTTTCCCTCACTCCCTCTTCCTCTCTCTGAAGGGTCTCATGTAGCCAAAACTTGCTATGTGGCCAAAGATGACCTTGAACTTTTGATCTTTCTGCCTCCACTTCCAAAGTACTAGGATTAAAGTATGCGTCAAATTGCCCAGTTTATACAGTGCTAGAGCTTGAACCCAGGACTACGTCCATGTTCGGCAAGTGCTTTACTGACTTAGCCACATCCCGGGCCTTATTGTCTGGAAGTCTTCAAGGCCTAACTCTG